AAAGTCCGTGCCTGTTTGGTGCCTTGACGATATGATTGCAAGACTTTCCAATTTCAACTCCCGAAATTACACCATTTTTTGCATAGTTGGAAGAAAGCAATCAAAATACTCAATCTCAAATGAATATTGAAGACAAATCCCAAAAGACTGAAGGACTCTTTTTGCGTCTATCGAAAAAGAAGATATGTGACGATGCAATATCAAACAATGAAATCGTTCGAAAGATGATATGAAACACAAGTACTCTTAAATGATGGCGCAAGGATCTTCCCCATGTTTTAATGTATAGTCATTGAACTCTGAATTCCACAAAAAACTGCATAATAATATCCAATGTCAGTTTCATAATATGGTGCACAGATTCCCAATGTTCATATGTATAGAGATTGAACTCTGAACTCTACGAAAAGTGCACACATCCCCCAACGTAAATATGTATAGAAATTGAACTCTACGAAAGGTCCGCATATCTCCCCATGTTTATATGCATAGAGATTGAACTCTGAACTCTATAAAGGTGCATATACCCCTCCCCATGTTTCTATGTATAGAGATTGAACTATGCGAAAAGTACACAGATTCTCCCATGCTTCTATATGAAAAGTGCACACATCCCCCAACGTAAATATGTATAGAAAATGAACTCTACGAAAGGTCCGCATATCTCCCCATGTTTATATGTATAGAGATTGAACTATGCGAAAGGTCCGCATATCCCCCCATGTTTCTATGTATAGAGATTGAACTCTACGGAAAATGCACAGATTCCCCCAATGTTTCTATGTGTAGAGATTGAACTCTATAAAGGTGCATATACCCCACCCCATGTTTCTATGTATAGAGATTGAACTATGCGAAAAGTGCACAGATTCCCCCCCAAAGAAGATATGTGACGATGCAATATCAAACAATGAAATCGTTCGAAAGATGATATGAAACACAAGTACTCTTAAATGATGGCGCAAGGATCTTCCCCATGTTTTAATGTATAGTCATTGAACTCTGAATTCCACAAAAAACTGCATAATAATATCCAATGTCAGTTTCATAATATGGTGCACAGATTCCCAATGTTCATATGTATAGAGATTGAACTCTGAACTCTACGAAAAGTGCACACATCCCCCAACGTAAATATGTATAGAAATTGAACTCCACGAAAGGTCCGCATATCCCCCCATGTTTATATGTATAGAGATTGAACTATGCGAAAAGTGCACAGATTCTCCCATGTTTCTATATGAAAAGTGCACACATCCCCCAACGTAAATATGTATAGAAAATGAACTCTACGAAAGGTCCGCATATCCCCCCATGTTTATATGTATAGAGATTGAACTATGCGAAAAGTGCACAGATTCTCCCATGTTTCTATATGAAAAGTGCACACATCTCCCAACGTAAATATGTATAGAAAATGAACTCTACGAAAGGTCCGCATATCTCCCCATGTTTATATGTATAGAGATTGAACTATGCGAAAGGTCCGCATATCCCCCCATGTTTCTATGTATAGAGATTGAACTCTACGGAAAATGCACAGATTCCCCCAATGTTTCTATGTGTAGAGATTGAACTCTATAAAGGTGCATATACCCCACCCCATGTTTCTATGTATAGAGATTGAACTATGCGAAAAGTGCACAGATTCCCCCATGTTTCTATGTGTAGGGATTGAACTCTGAACTCTACGAAAAGTGCACACATCCCCCAACGTAAATATGTATAGAAAATGAACTCTACGAAAGGTCCGCATATCCCCCCATGTTTATATGTATAGAGATTGAACTATGCGAAAAGTGCACAGATTCTCCCATGTTTCTATATGAAAAGTGCACACATCTCCCAACGTAAATATGTATAGAAAATGAACTCTACGAAAGGTCCGCATATCTCCCCATGTTTATATGTATAGAGATTGAACTATGCGAAAGGTCCGCATATCCCCCCATGTTTCTATGTATAGAGATTGAACTCTACGGAAAATGCACAGATTCCCCCAATGTTTCTATGTGTAGAGATTGAACTCTATAAAGGTGCATATACCCCACCCCATGTTTCTATGTATAGAGATTGAACTATGCGAAAAGTGCACAGATTCCCCCATGTTTCTATGTGTAGGGATTGAACTCTGAACTCTATGAAAGGTGCACATATTCCTCCCCATGTTTCTACGTATAGACATTGAATTCTGAACTCCATCAAAAGCGCACATATCCCCCAATGTTACCATGTATGGACATCGAACTCTGAACTCTACGAAAGGGGCATATATCCCCCATGTTTCTATGTATAGAGATTGAACTCTGAACTCTATGAAAGGTGCACATATCCCTCCCCATGTTTCTATGTATATACATTGAACTCTGAACTCTATCAAAAGTGCACATAACCCCCAATGTTTCCATGTATGGACATTGAACTCTGAACTCTACGAAAGGTGCACATATACCCAGTCCCCCATGTATCTATGTATAGAAATTGAACTCTGAACTCTATGGAAGGTGCACATATTCCCCCATGTTTCTGTGTATAGAGATTGAACTCTGAACTCTATGAAACGTGCATATATTCCTCCCCATGTTTCTATGTATAGACATTGAACTCTATGAAAAGTGCACATATCCCCCAATGTTTCTATGTGTAGAGATTGAACTCTACAAAAAATGCACAGATTCCCCCATGTTTCTATGTGTAGAGATTGAACTCTGAACTCTATGAAAGGTGCACATATCCCTCCCCACGTTTCTATGTATAGACATTGATCTCTGAACTCCATCAAAAGTGCACATATCCCCCAATGTTTCTATGTATGGACATCGAACTCTGAACTCTACGAAAGGTGCATATATCCCACTATGTTTCTATGTATAGAGATTGAACTCTGAACTCCTCTATGAAAGGTGCACATATCCCTCCCCATGTTTCTATGTATATACATTGAACTCTGAACTCTATCAAAAGTGCACATATCCCCCAATGTTTCCATGTATGGACATTGAACTCTGAACTCTACGAAAGGTGCACATATCTCTCACCATGTATCTATGTATATAGATTAAACTCTGAACTCTTTGGAAGGTGCACATATTCGCCCATGTTTCTATGTATAGACATTGAACTCTATAAAATATGCACATATCCCCCAATGTTTCTATGTATGGACATTAAACTCTGAACTCTACGAAAGGTGCACATATCCCCCCATGTTTCTATGTATATAGATTGAACTCTGAACTCTATGAAAGGTGCACATATCCCTCCCCATGTTTCTATGTATATACATTGAACTCTGAACTCTATCAAAAGTGCACATAACCCCCAATGTTTCCATGTATGGACATTGAACTCTGAACTCTACGAAAGGTGCACATATACCCAGTCCCCCATGTATCTATGTATAGAAATTGAACTCTGAACTCTATGGAAGGTGCACATATTCCCCCATGTTTCTGTGTATAGAGATTGAACTCTGAACTCTATGAAACGTGCATATATTCCTCCCCATGTTTCTATGTATAGACATTGAACTCTATGAAAAGTGCACATATCCCCCAATGTTTCTATGTGTAGAGATTGAACTCTACAAAAAATGCACAGATTCCCCCATGTTTCTATGTGTAGAGATTGAACTCTGAACTCTATGAAAGGTGCACATATCCCTCCCCACGTTTCTATGTATAGACATTGATCTCTGAACTCCATCAAAAGTGCACATATCCCCCAATGTTTCTATGTATGGACATCGAACTCTGAACTCTACGAAAGGTGCATATATCCCACTATGTTTCTATGTATAGAGATTGAACTCTGAACTCCTCTATGAAAGGTGCACATATCCCTCCCCATGTTTCTATGTATATACATTGAACTCTGAACTCTATCAAAAGTGCACATATCCCCCAATGTTTCTATGTATGGACATTGAACTCTGAACTCTACGAAAGGTGCACATATCTCTCACCATGTATCTATGTATATAGATTAAACTCTGAACTCTTTGGAAGGTGCACATATTCGCCCATGTTTCTATGTATAGACATTGAACTCTATAAAATATGCACATATCCCCCAATGTTTCTATGTATGGACATTAAACTCTGAACTCTACGAAAGGTGCACATATCCCCCCATGTTTCTATGTATATAGATTGAACTCTGAACTCTATGAAAGGTGCACATATCCCTCCCCATGTTTCTATGTATAGACATTGAACTCTGAACTCTATGAAAAGTGCACTTATCTCACAATGTTTCTATGTATGGACATTGAACTCTGAACTCTATCAAAAGTGCACATATCCTCCAATGTTTCTATGTATGGACATTATACTCTGAACTCTACGAAAGGTGCACATATCCCCCCATGTTTCTACGAAAAGAGATTGAACTCTGAACTCTATGAAAGGTGCACATATCCTCCAATGTTTCTATGTATGGACATTGAACTCTGAACTCTATGAAAGGTGCACATATCCCTCCCCATGTTTCCATGTATAGAGATTGAATGATATTATTCAATGTCAAAACACAAAATTCCTGATATTCCAATAAAGAAACAACCAGATTGTTGATAATAAATTTTAAAGCGACAGGTCCGGTTGAAGAAGTCGTCTTTTTGCCACCTGCTTCGCAACAACAACCTTCGTCCCGAACAGACGCTGAAGACCACAACTTGTCCATTGCCAAGAAGAATGGCATGCGATTACCTATGAAAAAGTGATAAACCGTATGTTATTTCAGAAATTTCCAAAATTCAAGTTTCTACGCGAACTTGACTTGAGAGCCTGTAACCAATGCTTGTGACCTATATATGATATAAGCAACTATAGGCACGCTGTTTCAGTTACTTTGATCAATCAAGTGCGATTATTGTTTCAGCATGAAGCATGTTTATTATTAGAAGTAATTATGTTCTTGAATGTTTCACAGGGGCCAAAAAAAATTATAGTTTTGTACGACGAGTCTGAGAACTGATTTGCAATTCATGTTTTCGGTATCGTGGATTGACTGGAGGTTCCGAAGATTTCAATTACATCATCGAATTGTAAAAGGTAATCATTGAAACTATAGGTCGCTTTAGCCTACTAATTGCAGCTTGTGCTGAAATTGTTTAATAAAAAAATCGGCGCTCCAAATTGTATAAGTGCATCAATTGGCTAACACAGACAGTACCAGAACTCGAAACAAAACAAAACAAGATTGTTGTGCTCAAATATATGGACACGTAAAGCATCTCGCCAATTTCCGAAAATAATACAAGTCCCCGTTCCGCAAAAAAAAACTTCCCATTTTCGCTGAGCACTATATCCACCGGCAAGTGCCGAACACGGAAACAGCTGATGTGCGTCCGCAGAACTTTCAGTGACGTCATGGCAAAAAAAACACAAATCCCACAGAGCTCACAGAAATATTTGAAATAAATAAAAGCAATAGCCTTCTAAAAAAAATTCCATCTTGAAGCACTGAAAATGTTGAAGAAATTGGTCCAGTAATCAAAGGTTAAAGCAAATTTAAAAGTTTTCCACTAGGTGTCCAAAAATAATGCAAAACGATCGTTAGGTTTACTAACGTGTCCAATAAGGTAAATCTGAATAAAATTATTACCTAACCCTAAACAGGTGCACATACTGCGGAGTAGCAGAAATCGATTAGAAAATTGTACCAACAGCGGAGAGAATTTTTTTTACAACTGCATTGCATTCGAATAACAATCATAAAATTATGATTCTATGGCCATTTACAGGTTAAAGAAAATTTCATAATGTTCGAGCTTTTAAGAAGTCCGGCCCTGAAATCAACTAAGTGAGGTGATATACAATAATAAATTTCAAACTTCGTCAATTAAGCGTTCATTCAATGCGGTGAAGTTAATAAAACGCGGTAAAATAGTTTTAATTTGGTGCTTCTAGCTAGGCTACTTTAAAAATACCCACTTAATAAGTCGGTAAAGTTCATAACCGACTTGGTTCATTCGTTTTCGAGTCTTGCTAAGCAGGGCACAGCAGTTGTCAGATTATCCTTTTACCCGGAAGAGCAAAATTAAAATTTCCGAATTTCATATGTAATGTTCTCATTTTGTTTTAAACCCAGGCCAACTGTATTTACAATTTCGCTTGTCGTTTTGTGTTTCTTACACCAACACTTCTTCGCATAGACTATATACCTTGAAAACCTAATATGAATTTCTGAATATCATACTCTAGTGTTCTCATGGTTTTTTTGTCTTGGTCCAATTAAACTAACTTCGCTTGTCGTTTTGTGTCCCTTGCACCAACACTTCTTCGCTTAGATTTACACGGAAAATCTAATATAAATTTCCGAATATCATTCTCAGTGTTCCCATGCTTTTTACAACTCGGCAATCTGAACTTATACTATAAATAATTACAGTGATAACTTAATTTCTGAATGTTTCACAGGAGCCGAAAATGATTCACAGTTTCGTACAACGACTTTGAGAACTGATTTGCAATTCTTGTCATGCACGTTCGTGTTCTCATTGACGGACTGAATGTTCCGGAGATCTCAAATACGTTATCGACTTGGAAAAGATGTTTATAGAAACTGTATGTCGTTTTAACCTACTTATTGCTGCTATTCCGACTATTGCCTATCAGAATTGTGTGTACCAATATGGAGGTCACTAATTTTGTTCGCCCATTTTACATCAAGTGGTAGAGGGACTAAACAGAGCATACCGATAGAGAGACTAAAACATATGTACATGGGGGGAATATTCACTTAGCTAACACAATCTCCGAACTCGTGATAAAACTAAAAAAAGGTAGATTGGATACAAATTATGGGCCTTACTCTAAACAAGTACACATACTACGCGAGTGGCAGAAATCGATTAGAAAATTGTACCAAGAGCAGAGAAAATTATTTTATTTTACAAATGCATTGCATTCAAATGAATATCATAAAATAATTAGTATAATGCCATTTACAGGTTGGAGGAAATTTCATAATGTTTTCATAATATGGGTACGAGTGCTAAAAGTCTTTTGAAGGTGGCCACGAGCCACAAAAGGTTAGACCTGGTACCCCAGAACAAAGATTTTAAAAACACTTAATAATAGATGATCAGTCACTAACGTTCATATTTGATCTTCTTCAGGTAGGGTATATGAATATCCGAAAATCATACTTAGTGTTCGCATTTTTTGTATCCCAGGTCAACTGATCGTGTCGCTCATGTTCTTTGTACGAACAATTGATGTAGAATCAGAGCCATCGGGCGAAGAGCAAATGGCGCGAAGACGGAAGATAGAATTTCTAATCTTCGCAGGAGGATTCTTCACTTGTGTGGTACTACAAATTCATTCTCGTCTGTCGATCTATTAGTTATTCAGCAAGGAATGGCTAGATAGGGTTCGACAGACGAAAAGACTAGGTGTTTCAATGGCTCTTATTAAAAATGTTTACAGAAGAACAACACAGTCCGGCGGGTTAGTGCAATTTAAGAATCCGAATGATTTTTAATGATAATCTGCTCTTTATGGGCGTGTACATGATGTATAAATTAATCACTATAAATTGCTGATTGTACTTTTATTTAGTATCATTCTGATGTATCGGTCCACACAGTAATAATTCGTGGTCTATTTGATACCATTAATTTTTAAAATAGGGGCAAACTAACACCATTTTTCTTTTATTATTGCCGAAACCTTTCTGTCAGCATTATTAGCAATGCGATCTTTGAAATGAAACCAAATTTGCTCCTTTGACCGACTGAATGAAATAAAGAAGGGTTTCGGTTAGGCTTATTACTGCACTGAATTATGTATTGTTGGTTAGATAGGGCGTTAGGTTTTCTTCTATATTTTGGGGATTAGGCTTCAAACTCTTCTAAATTAAATCGGTCACATGGAGCACATATTTGGATAAGACTCGAGCTTTTCCCTTTGCACATTAGGTCATAATACAGGGTCTCACAAATTGTGAGACGAAGCAGACGAAAGACTTCGGAAGGTACAATAGATCCTCTCCGGTGCAATAAATGGCAATAACTTTTAAATTTCTCTAAAAAATTGTTTGAAAAAAGTTTCAAATCATTTGTTTGGATTATTCCGTTATTCGGATTTATTTGAATACCATTGGCCACTATTGCGCTCAAAGAGGCGAAGTCTTGGTTTAATATTGAACGGGATTTCTGTACGTTGAATTCCGATTCAATGTTGCCAAGCCCAGTAGCACTAAGCTTCTGGTAAGGTAGTTAGACTAGGGCAAAAGTAGTTGATGACTCTAGCATTGTGACGCACACAATGGTAATATGGAATTAGACCCACAAACCACGTGATAACGACGATCTAAAACTGAAATTTACCTTAATATTACCAGTGCGCCAATGCAAAGTTGTCTGCTATTTTTCTTAGATGTTGCCTCTAGGTCTCGGGCAGCTTAGGGTTTTTAGGCCGGTCAGCTTTCAGTTTATATATGAAGAGGATATTGCGGCAGTCATAAACAAACTCATAAGTTGCAATATTCGGGTTCGTGTTTATGATTGCAGGGGGAGCTGACGCTCGCGCTTCGATCTAGATAGCCTAAACCTCTGGTGCTTGCACCATTTAGCTACGATTCACTCAACGTAGCAGAGTGAAATCGCCCGCGCGCATGATAAAAACAGATTGGGGTAAAAAAGCTGACCTTAGACAGGTTAGAATATGTAGGGAACTCTTCGACCATTGTAATATTAGATCAGGTCGGCGCTTTAAATAGACTTTGTAAAACTAGGGTCTAAAATTTCTTTCGGTGGGATGTGGAGATGGGTGGTTGGGACGGCCGGATAGATAGCTTTCTAGTTAGGGATAGATAGGTATAAGGGTGAAGAGTAATTATCACTCGCACTGTTGTCCTCTCTTGTGACTTCCAGCTGGGTTTGATAATTCACTTTTTCACGGTGATAGGGACGCAGTAGGGAAATGAATGATGTAACGGCCCCCAGACATCTTGTCTGGGGGATAACTCTTTCTCTTCCAATCTACATCTAAGCTGTATTTTACACTTGTGCATAGTTTTTTCTTTTCCATGGTTAATTGTCTTAGCTACGAAACCATGTTCATACACTGTAATGTTGTGGGGTGAAATGCAAGGCATTTATCATATTCGACTTGGTTTTATATAATATTTACATTCACCCGTCTGCCGTGCAATCAAATGCAGACATTAGCATTCTTTTTTCATGATTATTGTATTTGAGACATAAACCATATTAATCCGTGAATTCAAATGCAAGGCATCTTATGTGCAGTGCCGTGTAAATAACTGTAAGGCATTCATTATTTACTACATTTTTTTCCTGTATTATATTTTAGTGGTCCTCTTTTCCTGAAATTTTTTTTTTGTATAAACAATCATTTCGTCAACTAACACTTTTATTTTCATATTTTCAGGTATCATCCAAAGAAGATGACCAAACATTGGTTATTTTCAATAATTTTTTTCGAATCATAAATTAATTTGATTAATCCAGTTTATTTACTGAATCAACATCAATAAACTTAATTTTTTGTCATTAATATGACATTCCGAAATTGGGCTTAGGGAGAAATTTAATTTGCAGAAATAGAGCAATGTTCTTTGAAAAGTTCAATTGACGGAATTTGTAAATTTGTTCCACTATTGCGTGAATAATTGTTTAATAACGTATTAAAATTATAATTTTTAAGTTATGCATTCATTGATTCCAAACACTGTATATAAAAAATCTGAATCATCTATTCCATTTGCAATATCATATCTGGCGCTTAATTGTTTCTTATTTAAACAGATTAAACAAAATGCTAATGAAAGTATAGCAAACGCAGAAGGGGTTAAACGTATCAATGATCCTTTATTGAGATATTTCCCTTTCTGATGTGTACGTTTATAATTCTTTGGCCACTTTTTACTATATTTTTTATATTTCAAAGGGACGACATTGTTCCAGTGAGCTCGATGTTGCAATCCCACGAATGTCGGAGCACGTTAGACGAAAGAATGCACAAAAAAGTTGCCTTACAGGTTTAATAAGCGCTAGCATGATTCCGACAAAACCGATGTTTGACATAAAACATAGTGCATGTTGTATAATGAGTTGGTGGCGATGAAGACTTAGATCGTGGAGAATGAATAAACGCAATGGTGTAAGTATTCATTCCTGTACGAAAACAAAATTTATATATATAAGGTATCTTTCCATGTTTCATTTATGTGGAGAGTATGTGGAGAAACATGATATTGCAAGTTGAAACTGGACATTAAGGATGCGTGACTCTCTAAAATGCTCGGGATGTTTGGTTGATAATTGATCTTCATTTATGCTGCAATAAGCCGCGATTTTACACGATTCTTTTTGCAAATTTTATGTTTAAGTTGATTTTGGTGATGGATCTGATGTAATTTGTTGAACTGCGGATGCATGGTATTCGAAATGAGAGGATTTTTTTTTATTATCCAACAGTAGCGATCGGGACATGATTTCAGCTTTATCATGTTCATTTTATTGTCTATATATGTTATTTTTGTCTTGAAATCGGCATCTAACCAATTTTTGCAGGTTGGGTGTAACAATTTTTGCAAACTGGGACTAATCCGTTTTTTACAAGCTGGTTCTAACCATTTTTTGTTGATAAGGCAACTTCGTTTTTTTTGCGGCCAAAATACGGCCGAATCGCCTCGTTCAAAAAAAAGTCAGCGATGGAGAATGCCGACCCGACCCGAACGTAATGATTCACATTTCAGGCCCAGCCCGGGTCGGGCTCGGCCTTTAGATCTTAGCTTTAGTTGGGGCCCAAGTAGCAGTACTTGGGGTCGCCTGATAAAACTATTCGCATTCTGAACTTGATCTGGTTGCATAAAAGTATAAGGTATTGTTTGAAAAGGTTGGTTAATTTTAATTCCGAAATACTGTCGTATCTACAGTTTAAATTCGGGATGTGGAAATAATTTATGACCACGAAATAATTTTTTTATTATCTTTCTATGTATATATTTGCACTATAGTGAAATAATGACCATCATCATTATGGGATGAGTGATTTCGATAATTCAAAATTCAAAAAAAGGGAACGCTACTTCGTGGGAACACTACTTCACGGGTACACATTGTTAAGCAAATATTTAATACTTTTTAGACAACATAACCAAGGCACTTATGTGGAAAATCAGAAACTTTAAATTAAGATTCTTGAAGCCCTGCTGATATAATAATACACCGTATTTATCAAAATACTGAGTAGCTCTAATCATTCGCCATGGGTAGTTTGTCAAACTGTAGTTGAATTCAAATCTTCAAATTATCGTTTAGCAAAGACTAAAGCAGGTAAAATATTTAAAACATCTTGTTTTTCTAGTTTGTATCACAATGCCATGTTGAATCTAAATTTTTTCATTTAACTGGAATGACGGATGCGTTGTGGACCTGGGATTAGAGTCAAATCAACGAATTATTGTTTGGCGAAGACATACCGGGTAAAACAAATGACCTGTTTCGGTATTTGTACAAAATATTCGTACATACTCGGGAAAAGAACATTAGACAACTTTCACTAGACTCCTTGGTATATCTTTGTTTTTTGCTTTATAATGGGTACTCCCGAAGTATGTGTACCAGGATAGGGTTAGGCCATAATTTTGTTCCGATTCTCCTTGTTTTGGTTCTATTACGAGCTCGGGGGCTGTCAGTGTTATACCCCTCTTCATAGGTTTCAGTCCCTTTAAAATTGTTGTGAAATAGACGAACAAAATTATTTACCTCCATATTGGTACATACACTGTAGGAGTGTAGGTAACGTATATTGTTATTTAATCTATATAAAATTTATGTAATATTCTTCTCTTACAGGTCTATTGTTTCGCAAGCGTCGAAGTGACCGTTACAATCAAAATTCGGTTCTTCACTACAGCACTAATTCCGATCCCCACTAATCAAAGATTCTGGAACTATAGACTAGTGATTTCGATCATATCAGAATATAAATTATTGATAAAAGGGAACACTATTTCATGGGAATACGTTGGTAAGCAAAAAATTTATAGACAACATAACCAAGGCACATATATAATAAATGAATCGGAAACTTTTTGTTTCAAATTCTGGAAGTACTGTCACCATATTATATCGATTGAAGTACTCGCTAATTATAAGACATAATTCATCCAAAATCAATAGGCTTCTGGAGATATGATGAACGCACATGCAAAATTTGGAGCGGATTCAACCTCATTTTCGTAAAATATCGCGTAACAAACGAGAGTGTCTAACAGACAAACAAACAAACAGACAAATATCTATCAACATACTTACCGATCGAGATCGATAAGTAATAATTGATAGGGGGAATGTGAATAGTTGGGTGACAGTTTGCCAGCTAAAGATTTGCGTCGGCCTGGAAATTGCATATCTTGAACAGTAACACATGCATTTTTGTATCCGACTTAAACACCCCCTGTAAATTGACGACGCGATGATTTTGGGCATCGTCCAACTGATAGCCGTGGTAAGAAGGACCTTACAACTCATTATTTCGATATGACAAATAATGAAAAATTCTAGTCGACAGTAATAGAGTATTGACTCGCTAATATTTGATACAGATATGAATGACATATGCAAGCTGTATTAGCAAGGAGTATACAATGGATTTCATAGAATAAAATTGTGCATATATTGCATTTAATGGTATGGTATTAGTGGTATATGTGAAATATCGTTATGCTTTTACCAATGAAAT